ATGGGCCTAGATATGTACCTGTAATGTTACAGGTGTATTAGTAACCTATGGGCCTAGATATGTACCTGTAATGTTACAAATGTATTAGTAATCTGAACCTTTATATATGTGACAAGTTTGCTAGTTCCCCGTGGGCCTGTATATGTATCTGTAATGTTATAAGTGGGCTAGTTCCCTGTGGGCCTGTATATATACCTGTAATGTTACAGGTGTATTAGTAACCTGTGGACCTGTATATATACCTGTAATATTACAGGTGTATTAGTTCCCTATTGGCCTGTATATGTACCTTTAATGTTTCAAGTGTGCTAGTTCCCTGTGGTCCTGTATATGTACCTGTAATGTTACAGGTGTATTAGTAACCTGTACCTTTATATATGTGACAAGTTTGCTAGTTCCATATATACCTGCAATGTTATAAGTGGGCTAGTAGGTGTATTAGTGACCTGTACATTTACATGTATATATGTGACAAGTTTGCTAGTTCCCTGTGGGCCTGTATATATACCTGCAATGTTATAAGTGGGCTAGTTCCCTGTGGGCCTGTATATGTACCTGTAATGTTTTAAGTTTGCTAGTTCCCCGTGGGCCTGTATATATACCTGTAATGTTAAAGGTGTATTAGTAACCTGTGGGCCTGGATATATACCTGTAATGTTTCAGGTGTATTAGTAACCTTTGGACCTGTATATGTACCTGTAATGATACAAGTGTATTAGTAACCTGTGGGCCTGTATATGTACCTGTAATGTTACAGGTGTATTAGTAACCTGTACATTTATATATATGACAAGTTTGCTAGTTCCCTATGGGCCTGTATATGTACCTGTAATGTTACAAGTGTATTAATAACCTGTGGGCCTGTATATATACCTGTAATGTTACAGGTGTATTAGTAACCTTTGGACCTGTATATGTACCTGTAATGTTATAAGTGTATTAGTAACCTGTGGGCCTGTATATGTACCTGTAATGTTACAGGTGTATTAATTAGTAACCTGTACCTTTATATATATGAAAAGTTTGCTAGTTCCCTTTGGGCCTGTATATGTACCTGTAATATTACATGTGTATTAGTAACCTGTGGGCCTGTATATGTACCTGTAATGTTACAGGTGTAATAGTAACCTGTGTGCCTGTATATGTACCTGTAATGTTACAGGTGTATTAGTAACCTGTGGGCCTGTATATGTACCTGTGATGTTACAGGTGTATTAGTAACCTGTGGGCCTGTATATATACCTGTAATGTTATAAGTGTGCTAGTTCCCTGTGGGCCTGTATATGTACCTGTAATGTTACAGGTGTAATAGTAACCTGTGTGCCTGTATATGTACCTGTAATGTTACAGGTGTATTAGTAACCTGTACCTTTATATATGTGACAGGTGTGCTAGTTCCCCGTGGCCCTGTAAATATACCTGAAATGTTATAAGTGTACTAGTTCCCTGTGGGCCTGTATATGTACCTGTAATATTACAGGTATATTAGTAACCTGTGTGCCGGTATATGTACCTGTAATGTTACAAGTGTATTAGTAACCTGTGTGCCTGTATATGTAGCTGTAATGTTACAGGTGTATTAGTAGCCTGTGGGCCTGTATATGTACCTGTAATGTTATAAGTGGGCTAGTTCCCCGTGGGCCTGTATATGTATCTGTACTGTTATAAGTGTGCTAGTTCCCTGTGTTCCTGTATATACATGTATACCTGTAATGTTATAAGTGTGCTAGTTCCCCGTGGGCCTGTATATGTACCGGTAATGTTATAAGTGTGCAAGTTCCCCGTGGGCCTGTATATGTACCTGTAATGTTACAAGGTTTAGTTGTTGAAGCTCTATTTCTGCGCTCTGACTTTTCTTACTCTCCACCACCTCTGTAAACACTTGTGGCAGGGTCATCAGGTTGTCAATGGCTTTGTCCACCAGCTGACTCTCAAGCTGTAGACTGGACATAGAGTATGTAAACTGTCCACTGCATTCAGATGGCTCTTGCTTAATTCTCTTGTGCATATTCTCAAAACTTGATGTTTTTGAAGCAATTGCAATGTGTTGCACATCGTGATGGGTAGAAGTTGGTGACAAACATGGCAAAGTGTTGTAAGACCTGTCACCGTAACTGCACATTCCTCCTCCAGCACACTCCTCAGTGGAGAATGGCTGGTTTACCTGGTATGGTATTGCATCTGAAAATATATCATTTTATTCATAAACAAATATGATACAAAATTGGTTAAAGCTCTACTTTATCCCTAAGATATATTACTCTTTTGTGATAAACATGAATTATGCAGTCAACACGAGGAGATCTTGTCCTGAATGCATGACACCACGATGTGGTAAATTGTTGATTTGAGAAGTTGTTTGTACCTTTTGACATATTTGACCTAAATGACCTTGAAAGTATGTCAAAGTCATTTCTATTTGCAAATATTGCAAGGCACCACCTCAGAAAGCTACATACCTACCAGTCAAATTTTCATGACTCTAAGCTTTTTAGTTCTTCAAGACATACAGTGAAATCCCGCTTATTCGAACTCGCATAACTTGAATACCCCGATTCCTCAAATAGTTCACTTGGTCCCGACCGTGTTTTTACATACTCTTTGTAATTTAACCCCAGATTACTGGAACAGCCATTGCTTGAATACCCTGTATTCCTCGAACTCTGATTTATCCCCGACCAATCAAAACCATACTATTTTCCTTATCCATTCGTAGACACACCAGCATGTAAAGCTGATGATTTGGCAATACTAAGCGGAAACCATATAGCAGATTCTCAATTATCTTTAAAGATATTCAAACTTTAATATGCTGTGATTGTTAATTTCGTTATCAATCAACATTATAAGAACAGGGATTGAAGATTTTCTTCATTTTAAAATGATCAAAGAGTTCCTCTCATTCTGATATTTTGTAAAATTAACCTAGCCAGACTATCATGTCAAAACAACAGGTCCGCTACACATGCAGCTCGTTTATTTTATTTTCCTTCTTAATACCAATGACTACATGCTTTCACTGTTATTATTTTTAAATGTTGTCATCTTTACCAACTTCTTTTCTACTTCTATCATCTACTATCCACAATATTTGCAGTGCTCATATTGTCTGTCGCACCACCAGATTAAAAATTAACGATGTCAGTCAAACCTCGGATTCATTAAATACCATGTATTCCTCAAACTATTGATCTGGACCCCACGAGTTCGACTTAGCTAGACTTAATTGTATATATTTCAAAGTGTATTATGTGCGCAAACTTTGTAAGGCTCCATGAAAAAAAAAAAATACAAGCCAAATATCATTACTCTAGGCCTTTAGAAGCAGTCATGTACAGCTTTTGAAATGTTTTACTTCTGTGAACTTGTAAACAGGTCAAGGTAATTTTGTAGGCATACTTTGTTAGCCTCAATCCAAGACATCTACCAGCTATATGCAAGGACTAGGTGTTTAGGTTCTTCTTAAGAGGTTGTTTAAAGCTTTAGACATCTTGACCTCTGAACACTTGAAAGTGGTCAATGTCATCTTTGTTAAGTTTTTTGGATCTTTCGCAGGAATCTACAAGCCAAATAACATGACCCTAGGTCTTTTGGGTCTTCAGAAGAAGTCATTTGAAGTTTTTGATATATTTTGAGCCTTGTGACCTAAAATGTGGGTTAAGGACATTTGTTCGCAAACTTTGTTCGCATCCATTAAAGGAAACTACCAGCCTTATATCAGGACTCTTGGCCTTTTGTTTTCTCAGAAGCTTAAGACATATTTGACCTCTATGACCTTGAAAATGTGAAAGATGTGCATTGATTAGGTTGCTTTACAAGCGTCAGCTGTAGGGAATTTCCCTTTAGCTGAGTGGTAGATCATCGGGCTGGAGAGCCAAGGGTCGCTATCTACTATCCACAATATTTGCAGTGCTCATATTGTCTGTCGCACCACCAGATTAAAAATTAACGATGTCAGTCAAACCTCGGATTCATTAAATACCATGTATTCCTCAAACTATTGATCTGGACCCCACGAGTTCGACTTAGCTAGACTTAATTGTATATATTTCAAAGTGTATTATGTGCGCAAACTTTGTAAGGCTCCATGAAAAAAAAAAANCATCTTGACCTCTGAACACTTGAAAGTGGTCAATGTCATCTTTGTTAAGTTTTTTGGATCTTTCGCAGGAATCTACAAGCCAAATAACATGACCCTAGGTCTTTTGGGTCTTCAGAAGAAGTCATTTGAAGTTTTTGATATATTTTGAGCCTTGTGACCTAAAATGTGGGTTAAGGACATTTGTTCGCAAACTTTGTTCGCATCCATTAAAGGAAACTACCAGCCTTATATCAGGACTCTTGGCCTTTTGTTTTCTCAGAAGCTTAAGACATATTTGACCTCTATGACCTTGAAAATGTGAAAGATGTGCATTGATTAGGTTGCTTTACAAGCGTCAGCTGTAGGGAATTTCCCTTTAGCTGAGTGGTAGATCATCGGGCTGGAGAGCCAAGGGTCGCGGGCTCGAGCCCCAGCAATGGCACCGTCTATATCCCTAGTCCTTGTCCCACTACTGACCAACACTTGTTTCAAGCATTTGGTGTATGCTTGGCAAGGGGATACCCGAACCTGGGCTGTAAATAGTTGTGGGGGCAAGATTTAGAAAAAGGAGGGAGGAATGTAGCGGAAACGGACTGGGTCGATCGTCGGCAGCCAGGTAGCTCAATTGGTAGAGCGTCAGTCTAGAGTTTGGAGTGTCACGAGTTCGAACCCGAGTCTGGCTGTGCATTTTCCCTCTCCTGTTACAAAAGTAGTTTAAGGTCTTTTTTGTTGGTTACTTTGTTGGGCTCCATCCAAGGAAGCCACCGGACAATTACAATGACAGTACGCCTTTTGGTATTTTAGTGGAAGTTGTTTAAAGGAAAAGATGACAACAGACTGATGACAGACGCTGTGCCTTTTTGGCCAAGTGAGCTTAAAATCTTAGCTACATCCATGAGAGTTAAGAATTATTGTTATCACTTCCATCCTTCATTTCCAACTACTGTTTTAAAAAAAAAAAAACATTAAATGTATCCCGACACAAGATAGCATTACCATTTTACTGTACATGTATAGGACAAAACAGAAATGCATATCCCTGCTATTCTGGATTAATGTAACAAGAGGCCCAGAGGGCCTGTATCGCTCACCTGGAAATGTTAGCAAAATTGAAGTTGAAATAGCCAGATGTTGCTGGTAGTGTACATGTATTCCATGATTAGTTAGGAGTAATATTTATATGCAATTCGAAAAATCCTGTCATTCCTACAGGAAAAGGAGGATTTTGAAGAATTTTCTGTGTTTCCCATATTGGGCCCCGCCCCTCTGCCCCCAGGGGGGTCAGACCCACCGTTGATACAAAGCCAGGTCAGCTTCACCCAATGATGCTTTGGACCAAATATGGACATAATCCTGTCATTCCTACAGAAGAAGAATGATTTTAAAGCTATTTTTCTATTTTCCCTATTTGGCCCCCCCCCTCTACCCCCAGGGGGTTCAAACCCACCAATTATACAAAATTGATTTCCATTCCAAATAGGATGCTACTGTTCAAATTTGGTCAAAATACATTCATCGAATGGAAGAAGAAAAATATTAAAGCTATTCCTCTATATCACTTATGGGGCCCTGCCTCACTGCCCCAAGGAGGTTCAGACCCACCGTTTATACAAAATTGGTTCCCTTTATCCAAGGGTGCTTCATCGCAAATTAGTTTTTTTAAGAATTTGCTATGTTTCCCCTATTGCCCCCAGGGGGGCCACATCCATCGTTTATACAAAATTGAGTCCCTTTTGCCCAAGGGTCCTCCAGACCAAATGAGATTGAAATCCCTAAATCCCTATGGTAGAAGAAGGATTTTAAAGGTTTACCTCTATTACCCCTATTGGGCCCCACCCTTCTGCCTCTTGAGGGGCCACACCCACTTTTATACAAAATTGAGTCCCTTTGGCCCAAGATGGTCCAGACTAAATTTGGATCAAATGCCTTAGTTCCTATGGTCGAAGAAGGATTTTAAAGGTTTTACCTCTATTTCCCCTTTTGGGCCCCGCTCCTCTGCCCCCTTGGGGGCCACACCGACCATTTATACAAAACTGAGTCTCCTTGGCCCAAGGATGCTTCAAACTAAATTAGGATAAAATGCCTTAATCTCGACGGTAGAAGAAGGATTTTAAAGGTTTTACCTCTATTTCCACTATTGGGCCCCGCTCCTCTGCCCCAAGTGACGCCACACCCACGGTTTATATAAAATTGAGTTCCCTTTGCCCAAGGATGCTCCAGAATAAATTAGGATAAAATCCCCTAATCTCTATGGTAGAAGAAGGATTTTAAAGGTTTTACCTCTATTTCCCCCTATTGGGCCCTGCCCCTCTGCCCCTATGGGGGGCCACACCCACCATTTATACAAAATTGAGTCCCCTTGGCCTAAGGATGTTCCAGACCAAATTTAGTAAAAATCTACATGGTCGCTCAGGATTAGTAGCGTTTTAAAAGAAAAGTTGACAGACAGACGCTTTGGTATGGTATAAGCTCACCATGGTCCTTTGGACCAGGTGAGCTAAAAATGCTAGAAACTTAACATATACCTGATTAAGCTAATGAACCTATCTTTTTGACAAGCATCTAGAAATAAATTTGATTGCATACCTCCCCTGCTAGTGACAACTTCTGGTTTGACGTTATCACTCCGTTGTTCTGGCGAACTACTGTCCACACTGAGCGTGTCGTCAATAATAACAGCATACATCCCATCATTATCCTCATCACTCATTCCATCATCTTCACCATCTAGTTCAGTCATATGCAACTCATTCAGATCTTTCGGTTGTTTGGTAGAACTACCTTCCTCTGACTCCGTTGACAAGTTGGAATAGTACACACCTGAGTTTTCTGCAGCCGCCATTAATGTTGTGATGCAGGTTTTGGGATTTTTTAAATCTTCACATGGTTTGTTAGTTTTTGTTGGAATGGAAACTTTTTGTACTCTGTAATGGACAAGGTTACATAAATTGTTACTGTGTGAATTACCTCACTGATACTGATTGAATTACCTCACTGTAACTGTGTGAATTACCTCACTGTAACTGTGTGAATTACCTCACTGCAACTGTCTGAATTACCTGACTGTTACTGTGTGAATTTCCTCACTGTAACTGTGTGAATTACCTCACTGTTACTGTGTGAATTACCTCACTGATACTGTGTGAATTACCTCGCTGTTACGCTGATATTTGAACAATGTTCATAATACCGTATTGTCATTCTTCATAGACACCTTGTTTGATTATGACCAGGTTTGCTTCATAATGTCATAACAAAATGTTTAGCAGTTAAGAGATGTAAGATTTGATCTTGACCTTTGATCTGATGACCTTTAGGTTTGGTAAGTTGACATCTTTTTTGATTTTGGCCATCTTTGCTTCATAATATCATAAAAAAATGTTAAACAGTGAAGAGATGTAAAATTTGACTATGACCTTTGATCATTTGACCTTGAGGTAGTGATATAAAATTTCTGACCAACTTTTCTTCATGACGTCATAACAAAATGTTTAACAGTTAAGAAATGTAAAATTTGACCTTAACCTTTGATCCGTTGACCTTTAGGTAGAGATATTAAATTTGAACTTGACCTTTGATCCGTTGACCTTGAGGTTAAAATTTGGTCAGATGACATCTTGGTTGAATCTGACCAGCTTTGTTTCATTATGTCATAACAAAATGTTTAGGGGCCAATAATAAACGACAGTTGTGGGATTGCATAACGTTACACAACATGCGGTGTGCACGCGATGTGTGCACGATGTGCAAACAATACAAATCTGGTTGATTATTGCTTGCGCACATTTGCGTGGACGATGGATGAACATTGTGTGATGACAATCGTGGTCGGAGTAAATTGAGAAATGGCTTAACAATATTATGTGATTTCGTGTTAAAACATATAAACTTGATTTTAAAGTATGTTTCTATGCTTTAGCTACATATATCATCCAGTCTTTCTATCTTGTATTTTTCAAAATTTATAAAAAGTGTTTTCTGTGTTTTTTAAAATGACCAAAATCGACACATGTAAAAATATAACACATATTGACACAGTCCCATATGTATAGGTAAACACTTTGTACATGTACCTGGATCATATTTTCCCCCTACCTAACTCTCGTCAAGGTGTGAAAATCCAGGTGAAGGGGAGCAATAGACCAAAAAGAATTTAAACAACAATTACTTAATGTCCAGTGGTGTTTCGATAACGTCATACAGTATAACATACAATGTATCAGCTCTTTTTGTCAGGCACAGGCTGATGCAGGGCACTAACAATAGTACTGCAGATGGTATGAATTATATCCCCTGCCTTCATTGTTGGATTTGGATTGATAGTATGGTGTACTTGTCTGCTAAATGTAATGCTTAAGTGACAATTAATTGTTGAGCAGTGCAGGCTATGGTGTTTGGAAATATAGAGTGAGTTTTATGAAATTATGATAAAAAGTGAAGTCAGAAAAGTGTGGATTAACCAATTTGCTATCATAGTGTATCAGTTCTGAAATTGTGACCTTAACTCTGAAAATGACCTTGACCTTAGACTGAAATTTGGTTGAGAACTATAGCCAATTAACATGTAAGGTATTTGATGCTGTGACCTTCACCCTGAACTCTGACCTTGTCCTTAAACTTGTCTCAAAAGATTGATGTCAGGAATACTTGTGTAATACTTTTTATATTTAAATATTTTCTTTTAACAGGATCCTTTGGACAAGCCAAATGTTAACAGACAGATGGAGAGGGTGACAACAATGTAGGTGCAACAGGAAAGAGAGAGTAGTGCCTTCACTGGGGGATCAAACACATGATCCAAGACGTCCTCGTCGGATACTCTACTACTGAGCTAAAGGGAAATTCCCTCTAATGTGAAGCGAGACAGCAGCCATAATCCTATGTACAATTAAATCAGCCACATATGCCCTACTTAAGGAAAGCAGTTTTAAGCTTGGTAACTTGTGCTCAAATTGTAGGTAATCCTGGTAGCATGACTATGTTTCTTCATATCAAGCACACAGCTATTGCGATATATGGTGGGTATTTCATTCATTTCAAAACTCATGACCAAGGGATTTAATCTCCAAAAGCCAATCCTGGTTGCATGATGAAGTGTGTTTCACAGGGGCAGGCTTCCCTTATGCTTAACAAATAGTATGGATAGAAGTAAGGATCTCACCTGCTTTATGTTACCGTGTATCAGCCTGGGACCAAAAGGAAGAGTTAGAGCCAATCCTGATAGCACATGTAGAATTACTAGAATGCATCTTTTCTAACCCGTGATGTGTTTGGGATTATATGGTGGAGATCTCAATGTTTTTTCAAGATCATGCTAACTTCATTTATACAAATATGAAAACCATAACTGTCATCACATGTGCATGCATCTGCTAATCATCAGTGTTAATTGGGTATAATCAGTAATATGAAAAGGCAAAGCCTTAAAAGAGCGAAGCTTTTGTTGATCTCTGATATTTACTGATTCAGAATGAGATAATACTGCTTTCAGAATGAGGTAAGATAAAATTTATATATAGTCGGCTAGTCGAGGGATAACAATAAAACATAAACTCTGCTAGATCTCATTCTTGTCAGCATTATATATATACCCTTCAATATTAAATCAAACATTTGTTGGTGAATTGTTCCTAGACCAACCATTACGATATCACTGACTCAAATGGCATAGATGAATCATGTAAAAATCTGACAGACATATTAGAGAGAATTTCCCATGTCTGTATTCCAAATAAAACTATGGATGTGTCACGACATAAAAAAATACATAAAAGGGCAAAACAGACTAATAGAGATCGTGACTGGTTAGAGTTTAGACATTTACGCAATAAGTGTGTCAACCTAATTAGGCAGTCCAAAGACAAGTATTTCAACAAACTGTCGTTAGAACTATCTGTCCCAAATCGTTCCAGGTCATGGTGGAAAGTTCTTAACAAATTCATGAAAACAGACACAAAAAAACCCACGTCCCTGTCATTATTAGTGATGGAAATTATTACGATGACGATGCTGACAAGGCTAATAGTTTCTCTTATTTTTCTAGCCAAGCTAGAGTTGATGATTCCACTACCGTACTTCCGGAAGATAACTTGTGTATCTCTCCCAACAAACTTGGTCAAATTATAATAGCAAGCGATGACGTCAAAGATATACCGGTTAATCTGGATCCGTCCAAAGCAGTTTGACCTGACCTAGTCAGCCCCAAAGTCTTAAAAGAGACAGCCAATGTTCTTTGTAATCCTCTTGCCTTCTTTTTAAACAAATGTCTTGCCATGTCTAAATTTCCGTCGTCATGGAAAAGATCTAATGTCATACCTGTTCATAAAAAAGGAAAACGAGATGACCTCAAAAATTATCGTCCCATATCTCTAATAGGTGTCTTAGGAAAAGTATTTGAACGCTGCATATTTAAATATTTGTACAATTTTCTTCGTCAAAATAGACTTATTACTAGCTGTCAATCAGGTTTCACACCCGGCGACTCTACTATAAACCAATTACTTAGTATATCTAACGACTTTGGTAAAGCTCTAGACTCGGGCAAAGAAATTCGAGGAGTATTCTGTGATATCAGCAAGGCTTTCGACCGTGTGTGGCATCGAGGCCTTCTTTTCCAACTTCAAAAACTTGGCATATGTGGAAAGTTATTAACCTGGTTTGAAGATTATCTTCTTGACAGAAAACAAAGAGTTAATTTAAATGATTGCAGTTCTAATTGGGCATCTATTAATGCCGGGGTACCCCAAGGCTCTATCCTTGGAACTCTGCTCTTCTTGGTGTACATTAACGATATTGTGTATGATTTAAAGTCCATAATAAAACTGTTTGCAGACGATACGTCACTGTATATGGTAGTAGACAATCCAATTACAATATATGAAATTCTGGAATCAGACTTGGAAAAAATAAATCCATGGTCATGCCAGTGGCTTGTAGACTTTAACCCAAATAAATCTGAAACTATCCTCATAAGTAGGAAAAGAAACCCTCCCAATCACCCTCTCTTACATATGAACCAAGTTCCTATAAATAACGTATCTTTCCATTAGCACCTCAGAGTCTTTTTCTCCTCAAACGGTATTTGGTCAGATCATGTCAATTACATCATCTCTAAAACGTCACCTAAGCTCAACCTCATGCGAACCTTAAAATTCCAGCTTGATAGAAATCCTTTACAATCAATATATTTTTCATTTATAAGACCTCTACTTGAGTATGGAGATAAAGTGTGGGGGAACATACCGAATGAGTTGGGAAAAAAACTTGAAAACCTCAATATTGAAGCCGCTCGAATTGTAACAGGTGCAACTAAATTAGTAAGCATTGACAAACTTTACAATGAATCAGCTTGGGTCAGTTTATTCGATCGGAGGTAAAATCTTAATATTATCCAGTTCCATAAAATGTTCTATCAATATACACCTGAATATTTATATAGCCTTATCCCAAGTACTGTATCAGAAGGGCATCGATATGATACCAGAAACTCCCACCATACCTTTATTACTCCAATATTGAGCAAAACTTCCTTTTATAAGCAGTCATTTCTACCTTCTGTTATAGATCAATGAAATAGTCTTCCACAAAATGTACTTCTGCTTCAAAATCTTATCTTGACAAGCAATATACTAAGATAATTAACGCCTACCTATTACAACGTTGGTAACCGCAAGGGCCAAATATTTCATGCACGACTACGAATGGAGTGTAGCTCCTTAAATGGTCATTTATTTGCTAAATATATTGCTCCATCTCCATTATGCATGTGTGGTGAAGTCTAAGACAATGAACATTTTTTTTATATGAATGTAACAGGTACGATCAAATAATACGCTACCTACAATGTTTGCCCCATAATATTGCTTTTGAGTTATTATTATTTGGAGATGATTCGTTTTCATCTAGCTGTACAGAATTATATACT